TAAAAATCCAGGAGAAAATTTGACAGTAAAGATAAAATAAATTCCAATGTAAGCCTTTTACTTTTTCTTTTTTTTTTTTTTTTTTTTTTTTTGTCTTTTTCCTTTTTATTGGTACCGGGGATCAAACTCACGACTGCCTACTTGCAAGGCAGGCGCTTATGCCACTGAGCTAAATCCCCAGCCCCAAGCCACCTTCTTTTGAAGTAATACAATTTTAATTATAACAGTGCTGGAGATAATTAAGAAAAAAATTAACTAAAAATGGAATCGTTATTGCCAAATAACTTTTTCCTTCCAGTAATGGAGAGACCAATCACTTTGTGAAGAAAATGTTTTTTTTTTTTCCTATCCCAGTGTGGCTTATTAAGAATTATATATCTTATAATATATTTAGCACATTAGTAATGCTATTCATTATCTCTTTAGTTACACATGAGCTTTTTGATAGTGCCTAATTCCCCTGGCTATCAAATTTTAGAGTCGTAAAAGGGGGACAGACAAACCACTGCTCAGAGAACTTCACCAAAATTTCTCCAAAATCTGTAATGAAAATAGGAATAGAACTTAAATCTGGGATCTCTGTGTTCAGTGAACACTAAACAAAATGTCATCTCCACCTCTAGAAGAAAAACAAAAGGATGAGCCACAAATAAATCATGATGTATCTAACATTTATTGGCCCATTTGTATTTGTCTAGTGCTATGGTAAACACTTTAAATACACAAGCGAATTCAATTCGCAGGAGAAACCTCTGAGGTATATGTTATTATTCTCCCTCTGCAGAAGAGGAAATGTGGCCTGTAGCAATTGAAAAGTCTGCCTAAACCACACGGCTACTACCTGCCAAGGCAGCGCTGAACTGTAGCTCACCCTGACATGAAATCTAACTCAAACACCCTCTCACTGTGAAGAAGTGGAGACCGTGTCCTGTCTCTAGGTCTCCATACTCAAAGCCAGGAAAATGAAAAGGCACATAGCAAGATGACCCAGTGATGCTGTTCCATGGAGACTTCAGTACATAAACTATTAGACCCTGGCTTCTGCTCCAGGTGAGAGATGCTACGGTCCCTCCAACTGCCCCACAGTGGGAAGGTGGATTTTAACCTTGACTTCTCATCTTCATCCTGATAAGCAGTTAATCAGCAAACTCATCAGTTAGAGTTCTTTGTAGCTTTACATATCTTTCCATACTTTTTTGCCTCTTTACTTCAAAGTACCATTATTTTGCCTCTGGGGTATGACAAACATCTCCTAACTAGCCCTCTTATACTACTTTGTACTTTTTTTAAATATGACTCACAAGCAGCCCGAATGAGTCATACTGGTGAAATACAAGCCCATGTTTGCTTACAGTAAAGCATCCTTACCTATGAAATAAGACCCGTATTTCACATGACACACAACACAACACAACACCCTTGAGTATGCAGACACTTTTTCTCCATGGAAACCCTTACTATGATGAAATATACACCATGTCACAAATATACAGTGTTTTCATATCCACATCTTCTGTGCATACAATTATTTTTTTTTCTGACAATACTTTACTTCTCCTGGAATTCTTTTCTGGTTTCAAGTCTCAATTTAGATATCCTTCTTTCTGAGTATAGTTCATTGATGATCCAGGTCTGAGTGAGTGTCCTGCTCAAAGCTATTCTTTATCACAGCGTTGACTGCACCATTCTCTAAGCACTATTACACTGTGTCCTTCACTACTAAGGATGCTTCAGGTCTTATTACCTTTTCCCTGCTATAGTCTGAGGCACATGAAAGAGGATATGAAGAATGTAAGCAGGAAAGAAGGTCTCTCTGTATAGTTCAAGCTAGCCTTGAGTTCACCATGGAGCACAGGCTGACCTCACATTCACAGTGATCCTCCTGCTTCAGTCTCCCAAGTGCTGGGATTACAGGTGTGCACCACCATGCCCACCTTCCAGTATCCTTCTTTCCCTAAGACCTGCTTCAGTGTCCCGAGTGGGAAATAATCATCCTACTTCCCTTGTCAAAGTGTAACTTTGTGCATTTTCTTCAAAACTTGTGTATGTTGTTTATTATAGTACCATGCCTCTCATTCTGTGCACCCATCTGGAAGATAGGACATATTTTCACATTTTCTTTGCTGCCCTAGAAGGAGTATCATAGCAAATTTTATGAAGATAGGACACATTTTCACATTTTCTTTGCTGTCCTACCAGGATTATCATAGCAAATTCTATATGACATATATTTAAACTGAAGTGAACCATAGGATACATTTTGCAACTCACATGCTTATATCTCTTAAAATGTTATTCAAAGTTATGAATTCATAACCTCTTTTACTTTTTCAAATTTTCACAAATTCCCATTTTTTAAAACACAGTTTCACTGTGTTTACTATTGTCCAACATTTGTTAAAAATCAGTGGACAATAGGGTCAACACTGGTATAGAAGGGGGAGAAGAAGTGTAATTGCATTAGTGAGCATTAGAACCTTCAACTTTACAGGTAAAATGATGACTTTGTATCAGTAAAGCTATCACTGTAGCTAACTGAAGGATCAATCACAAGAAGTAGTCGACATATACAGTAAATGTGTAAATTTAAAAAATTATTACACTAAAAGGCACATGGTCATTTAGCTAGACTCAAAACACTCCTTGCTTTGTATGCCTTGTTCCATTATTGTCATCACTTCTGTAGTAATTTTGGCAGCCCTCTTTCTTGTCATTGTGAGTTGTGATTAAAAGTTATGGTGAATCCTGCTGCTGAGCACCATCCCGCAGAAATGCAGGCTCATAAAAACATCAGTATATCCTCGTCTACTTTATTCACTATATGTGGACCAAGAGGTTTCTGGTTCTTCTCCGTAGTCAAAATGATCACAAAAAAAAAAATAATGTTTAAAGTTGATTCAGGACCTCAAGGCAGCACAGCTAAAGACACACATGCACGCAAAGAATTTCCAAAACTGTCTTAGGAAGGGGCGAGAAAGGTGGCATTAGTGTGTGTTAGAAGTGAAGGGAGTATTTTGGGAGCGATCATTTGAAGAGGATCAATGGCAGTGGTCTTTGCCTGTGACATATTGTTAAAAGAGTAAACGTTTTAAGCTGATTTGAATATTTTTGATCATTTATCATATCAGAAGTGATTTTTTTCCTTTTTAAAATTTTGATAAAGAAATTTTGAAAGAGAAGTGGAATCCCTTGATACAGGGCTCCTCTTTGTCAGATGGGACTTACACAGGGAACACATTTCCACTATGGGAAGCAAAGAGGAGCTGAGGTGGCCTCCCTGACTCTTGTTCCAGGTTAGCAAGGATTGACTCCAAGTGAATAACCAGGCCCGCTTATTCCCGTTCATTTTAGCTAGCTGTGTTCTGGCACAAATGCAGATGACAGATGACAAAGTGTTTGATCTATGGCAATGAAAGGAAGAAAGCACTTTAAATGCCAGGTCTCTGGATCACTCTTTCAACACCTGAGGACTCTTCCTCAAACCAATTGAAGTTAGCAATTGCATCATCTGAATTAGAAAGACTTTCAAATTGTTGTTGAGAATAAATTCATCAACAACTTCCATTCATATTTCAAATACTTTCAAAAAATTTTAAACTGTTCATGATGGTGCATGCCTGTAATTCCTAGCAAGTGGGAGGCTGAGACAGAAGATTTGCCAGGAGTTCAAGGACAGCCTGGGCTACACAGTGAAACCCTGTCTCAAAACAAACAAACAAACAAACCAAAAATCTAAAGTACAGTTTTAAACATGCTCAAGTCCCACTTAATCATATTGGTCACCTACTACTGGACAACTGGAAACAACCAAATGGGAGAAGAATGTTTTGTCTGCACTTTTTCCTGGGGACTCTTTGAGGCATTTTACTTTTCATTTACTGCTCATATGTGCAGCCAGATAAAATATCTCCCCAGACTCAGTTTAAAGCAGACAGACTTTCCAACAACAGTTCAATCCCATCACAGCTTTTAGAAAACATTTCTATAGCCCTAAGGTGATATTTTTAACTCTATTGGTTTTGGAATATCATGTAAAAGTCAGAAGAGAAGTGGAAAGCAAGAAAATTAAACAGCAAAAGTAATGAACAATATAATAGACAGATCATCATTTTCCATTTTTAAGTCCAACTTGAGACTCTAGTAAACAAAATAAATAAGCTTATATTCTACTGTCTTTTCCAAACTTCATAGAGGTGATATTATGCTTTGGTAGATAAGCAGTTTCCTTCCAGACATACATAAAAATTGTGTTGTCATGTACTCTGCACTCCTAATACACTGTTCTTTTCCTTACCTATATTTTCCTAAACCTTAAAACTGTTTGAAAATTTGATTTTTTTTGTTTATTCTCATCTTAAACTTTCTCAGATTCCTGTGACCACAGGAAACACTTTTGTACTTCACATGCACTCCAATTTCATCTGCCTTTATGAGAAAAATAGAATTCTGCAGTGTGAAGCTATTCATCCCTTGTATGACAGTTCCCAAACGTGACTCACTTTTGATAGGAAATTTTTTAAATCTATGACTGTCCTCTGTACGTTAGTATAGTTATGCTGCATACTGAGTGAGGAGGTGTTATATCCCTTGACATTGATTCCTCAATGTGTTGGATAATGGGTACCCCTTTTGGAAATTCTATCACAATAAGATTAAAAGTTTATCTTAGAAAGTTGTTCCTTTGTTCCATTTGGCATGTGCAATGAAGAAAGAAGCAAACTAATGAATAGTTAGATGATAATCCTTATATGAATATTTTCTTATGAAAAAAGAAGGAAGATTCCACAACCTCATTTGTACAGTGGGGTGGCGTAGTTAGTTACTGGTTAGTGTGAGGGTTAAGTTAGCTGCGGATGTAAAGATTCAGTAGCTAGTAAGTTTGCCCATGAGAGCTACCTTTCAGTCATTTATCATAAGAAGCTCGCTTATGAGGGATGCCATATGACAGTGGGGCTTGGAGAAAATTTCAAATGAGTCTAAAAAAGATATTAACTTCTTACCTCCAGAGAATCATCAGTATTCACCATCCAACAGTCTGTCCAGGTGGCCAAAATCAAAAACCCAGTGGAGAAAAAGGCAAAGAAGCAAGCAGCATATTGAAGGAAGTCCCTCATGGTGGTGAGCAGCCTGTTCCGAGGGCACCCACAGGCAAGCAACGGGCCAAGGCACACGTGGGTGTCTGGAACGCTATCTGGCATCTATTGCTGCTACCTGGGGGCGAGAAAGTACAGGTCTTTTCCTTTTCCTCACATCGCACTGCATGCACTTTAAGCAGCAGTAAGAATAATACAAACAGGCTGTAACCAACAGAGGGCCCTAGAGTCATTACCCAAAACAACCAGCGTCCAATTAGAAACCAGGTCAGTGAAAGGACTGAGTGCATTCTGGGTCAGTAGAGAAGGAGCCTGGTAACCTGTTCTGCCCAGTCTGAGGGTTTGTGCAAAAAGATGGTCCGCAGAGCCCTGGGCCAGGGCCAAAATGGGGGGGACGGGGAGCCCCACCTCATCTGGAGCCTGTTAGGATCCTTGCTTCCCACTGGGGAAAGGGAGCTGTTCTCCTCTGCCTCAGGTCGGCTGCCTGCTGTTTCATTGTTAAGACTATTTTTGATACTCGCTAACTTCCTTTGATGGGCAGACTACAGGTGAAATTATGCTAAGCAAGTACTGGTTCAAGGGAGTTTGCATTCCAAAGTGCTGGGCAGAGTCGCCCCACCAAGGACTTCTAGCACCTGAGCAGCAAGGAGGGTCAGAGTCCTAACCTTTCAGCATCAGAAACCGGGAACAATGCGTACATGCTTACAAAGTAAGTTTAGTTCTGCTTTGCAAGGTGATACACAGCTGTAACCCCTGGCAACACGAGAGTTTGTGGGAGACGTATTGAACTTTAAGGCCAGCCTGGGCCACTTAGTGAGACCTTGTCTTGAAATAAATATTAAAAAGGACTGGAAGATATCGCTCAGTTGTAAAGTGCCACTAGGTTACATTCTCCAGTACCAAAAATAATTACATTTATTAGTAATTAAAATGCAAAATTAAAAAGCACACACCACATGCAACAAAGAAAACAAAATAAATTAAAAACACCATGTACTTCAACAACGCAGTCATTTTACAAGCACAATTTTTGAGTAGTTTTACAATGCTTCCTTTCTTCATATATATATAAAATGCTCTCTCTTCTTGAGTGTGTGTCTGTGCTTATCTTCAGCGTTTGTTGCCTGACTTTAAAATATGTTTGTAAAACTTTTCTAAATGGTTTAGAGATATGATATCATTTTATCTTCAAAGGCATCATAAGGAGGCATTAATACCCCATTTTACAGAAACTGCAGCCCAAAGGTTCTGAGACTAGCAGCCTCAGAAAGAGAATTTACAACCAGTTATTGGGATGAAAAGGTTCACTTATAAATCATTACACTTCTTATGGAAAACTAAAAATAAAACAAGTTATTCTAGCAAACATACTACTGAGTATATATTTAACGAAAATAAAGTCAGTATGTACAAGAGACGTCTTAGCACCCTTGTTTATTGCAATTCTATTTATAATAGGCAAGAGATGGAAACAAGCTAAGTGTCTATCCACTGATGAAAGGAAAAGCAAACATAGAAATCTGTTTATAATGGAATAGGATTCAGTCACAAATATGACAAAATCCTATCATTTGCACAACATGGATGAAACTGAAGGACATCACGCAATGTTAAATAAATCAGGCACAGAAAGACGAATACATGTTTTAGCAGAGTCTAGGAAAAGTTGATCTCAAAGAATTACAAAGTGGAATGGTGTTTGACCAGGCTGGGAAATTGAAGAGGGGATGGGGGGATATTAACCAATGAGTATAAAGTTACAGATTACCCCTAGAGTTGCTGCTTTGATGAGTCACAAGTAACTACTTCCTTGTGCTCACCGACGTCTAAAATGCTAACACGGCATTAGACCAATTCCAGAAACTCAGGCCCACTATAGGAAAGTCCCGAGTGAGTTAACTGCTAGGTTACTGCCCAGCGACCTTGGCAATGCACTCTTTTTACTATGTACCCTGTGATGTTCGCTCAGAAGATGGAGCACACGCAGGAATTTCCAATGCCACTGTTTATGAATACAGATCAGGGAATGCCACAGAAAACTGGATTTGGGAAACAGAGTGAAGGCCAGGAATTCATATTTTATGTTTAGCGGACCCTCGAGTTACAACTAGCCTGAAGTACGAACAGCTTGGGTTATGATTGGAACTGTAGTTTTAACTTACAGACAGTGTCTTGAGTTATGACCTCGAGGTGGTCCGCTTGTGCTTCCAGATGGTCTCAGGTACAGATTTAATAAAGAGATCTGGAAGGAACATTGCAACATCCTTTCCTGTAAGGGGTTAAGAAATCCTGGGCCAATGTCTCTCTAAGGCCACTGAGATCTGCCTGGGTACAGAAGAGAGATTTCAAAGGCTCTGGAGAAGAGCCTGAGTCTTCAAATGACAATTCAGGTTACAACCTGAATCAAGTCTGTAAGTCAAGGGTTCACTGTCTGCTTCATATAAACTTCTTTTTCTGAGACAGATGGCCAAGCTTTGAAAAACTAATTCAAAAAAAGAAATGAAAAAGCATAATACTACAAATAAAGTTGTAGGAAAAGGGATATTAATAGTGCATTTGGATCATGAATTTTCCCAGACTAGTACTGCTAATAAATATGAAATTCTTCTCCAAGACTTCTGAGTGAAAAGCTGGATCCCCAGTGATGCAATGTTGAGAGGTGGGGTCCAGAGAGTTAACTGGCTCATGACAGCACTGTCTTCAACAAGGGATTGATTCACTGAGGAATTCATGGCTGAATGGATTTATTATAGGCTGGGAAAGTTAGAGGAAGCAGTTCACTAGGCATAACTGTAAAGAGTATATTCTTTCTCCAGTCCCTTTCCCTCCTTCTAGCTCCCTCTGCTTTCTCTTGCACACATGCCAGGAGGTGAGTAACTTTCTTCCCTGATGTCCTTCTGCCATGATGATTCTGCCTTGGAACCAGCCAATACAGACTGAAAGTTCTGAAATCATTAGTCAAAATAAATGCATCTTCTTGTAAGTTGTGTTAGGTATTTTATCTCAGAAATGGAAAGATAACTGACATATGTACCAACTTCAGATCTCTAATCCAAATATTGGAGCCTAACAGGTAAGAATAAGGTAGGAAAAAACATTGAATATTCCCATATGCAAACAGGCACATGTATACATGTACTTCAGGAAATCAGAGATCCTGACATGAGGAAGGTTAGACTCTTATGTATTTTGATCTCAGTATTTACTTGGCATTGTGTCATTATAGGACTATTTCTAAATTTAAATGACTATTAAAAATTCCTGAATTTAACTGTATTATGTTTAGAGAAAAAGATAAGGTCATGCTTCAGTGTTGATTTCTGTAGGCAACGCCAGAACACGATAGGAGGCTTCAGAAGGGAAACTCAGGCAGACCAACATAGAAGTAAAGACTTTGTGGCTGGGATATGGGTACAATTGTTAGGAAGGGACAAATGAGCAGCAAGCCGTGAGGATGGAGGGGGTGGATGCAGAGTAAATTCTAAGTCTACACAAATTACTCTCTCACTGTGCTCTGCTCTATTTTCCATTGTGTAGCCTCATGGGCTCCACTGAAGGTCAGTTTCATTTCACCCAGAACACTGATGGACAGTGTACTCTGACTCAGCACTGCTGGGTCCTGGGGACAGAGAGAAAGTAAAAGATACAGGACCTGGTTTTGGTCTTTGGTGGGTAGACAAAACCTAGGCACTGAGAGGAAGTGAAAAGCTCCATTCAGGTAACTCTGACAACGGCTTTACATGCTAGTACCACTCCCAGTAAGAATATGTAGGTATATTAGATGGAAAGATGCAGTTTCTCAGCCAAATGTAAACACAAAATATAATTATCACGAAGTGTGTGGTGCAATAGGGTTTACAAAATATTTTCAAAAGCATTATCTCACACTCTATGAAGACTGACATCTTTGTACTGTTCATTAGTCAGTCCCATGTGCTTAAAAATCTACTGGGCACATCATAGACTCTCAAAAGATATATTTTTATATTTAATTTAATCATCAGAACCCCTCTGTTTTGCAGACTATACAGCCAAGTTATATTCTATTTTTTGGGAAATATCCAGAAATATACATTAGACTGGCCCCTGATGATCTTTGCAACTCCAGGGCTGTATATTTTATAAGATCTCAAGATAAATATTTTAGTCAATTTACTCTGCACTGTGTTTGCACCCGTCCAGTATTTGCATGACTCCTGACTGAGATTTCAGAACCACCTGTGATCAGGTGAACAACACCCTCAACCTGGACCATTAGGAAAGAAGTAATTGCAGAACTGGAAATGCTGCAATTGTCCATTTAGTCTGCAGGTGGAAGCAGGCCTACATTTTCAGTTGGGCCAAACAATGCTATGTTATATTGTGTGAGCTTTGTTATTTTTGCTGATCTCACAAAATGTTCCTTTCATATTCATTACAATAATGCAGGTCTTTAGAATGAGTAAACTAATTTATACCACATGTTATAAATAATCTTCTTTCTCCTTTTTGAGATGCCCAGTGATCACTGGAAAAATCTACACAGCAAAAATTGGCTTCTGTTGTCAAAGTTCACACTCGCTGTAACAAATGGCAAAACAAATCATTGGTTAAAGGTTTGGATCTCTCTGAGATCAATCAGAGAGATCTGAGTTCAGGCTAAGCTAGTTATTAGATGTCAGATTTAAAACAAGTCATTTAACATTATTAAGGCTGCTTCCTTGCCAATAAAATCAGAATTATGAAATTTGTCTCCAAACAGCTATGGAAAATTACACTTTAAAGGCTTTAGTACACTGCATAAAATATACTGAACACTCAAATTATAGGCATTGTGATTTATATATTACAACCTTGGTCTTTCACATATGTCTCCAAATACGTATGTACTTTATATGTATCACTATCTGCTCTGGCAACAATAAATTAAACACATAGGACACAAAAAGTACAATTATAAAGCAAATTTAGTTTTATCTCTTTGGTTCTTTTAACTCTACTGTATTTGGTTTCAGCTAATTCTTCCCCAGAGTGTGTATAAAATCTATGTATACTTCATGAGATCTGTATCACTTTCAGATAATATAAAATCTCAATCATGTCAAGTCATAAAGATATAATGTCATTCCAGTGACCTAGATATTCATATTTGAATATACAAGTCAAACACTT